GTATATGAACATAGAGAGTTTTGTTCACTCATTCTACTTTCTCATTCCCTTCCCCCAAGACTCTCCCATCCAATCCCATGAATCTCCCTCCCACCCTCTGCACCCCTGCCCCCACCTATTGTGAGAAAGCATCCGCATTCAGAGAGAACATTCAGCCTTTGGAATTTTGGGACTGGATTATTTTACTTAGCACAATAGTCTCCAGTTCCATCCATTTACCTACAAATGCCATAATTTCATTCTTCTTTATGGCTGATAATATTCCATTGTGTATATACCACATTTTCTTTATCCATTCATTTGTTGAAGGGCACATAGCTTAGCTATAGTGAATTAAGCTGTATAGACATGGTTGTGGCTGTGTTACTATATATGCTAATTTTAAGTCCTTTGTGTATAAACTGAGAAGTGGGATAACTGGGTCAAATGGTGGTTCCATTACAAGTTTTTACTCAGCATGTTTTCAAGGCTCATCCATGTTGGAGCATGTATCAGATAATATTCTGAATAATATTCCATTGTATGTATACACCCCATTTTGTTTATCTATTTATCTGGGGCTAACAAAGGCTAATGTGAATAATCCTGTTATGAACACTGAAGCCCCTACCTCCATTTCTTTTGTGTAGATACCTCAAAGTGGAATTTCTGGAACAGAAGGTAATTTTATGCTTGATTTTTTAATATGTATTCTTTTTATTTTGTTCATTTTTTTAAATGTGGTGCTGAGGATCGAACCCAGTGCCTCACGCATACTAGGCAAGTGCGCTACCACTTGAGCCACATCCCCAGCCCCTTATGTTTGATTTTTAAAGGAACTTCCACACTATTTTCCACAGTCACTGCACCTGTCTTCATTCCCACAGAGCTCCCATTTCTCTACATCCTTGCAAACACTTTTCTGGGTTTTTTGATAATAGCCATCCTAATGGGTGTGAAGGGGTTTTGGTTTGCATTTCCCTAATGATTAATGTTGCTGATTATTTTTTGCTGTGCTTATGATCTCTTTGCATATCCTCTTGAGAGAGATGTCTACTCAAATCCTTCTCCCTTCTTTGGATGTTGAGTTAGAGGATTGCTGAGTGCATGTCCTGAATATTAATCCCTTATCAGATTTGGATTTGCAAATATTTTCTCCAATTGTGTGGGCTGCCTTCTCATTCTGTTGATGAAGTCCTTGGATGCACAAAGGTTTTTAATTTTAATGAAGTTGAGTTTGTCTGTATTTGTTGTTGTTACCAGGCTTTTGGTGTCGTAACCAAGAAATCATTGCCAAATCCAATGTCATTAAACATTTCCCCAATGTTTAATGTTTGCTTTTTTGTTTTGGCCTTAGAGGCATCTTTGGTTATTGTATTTGGCATAGAGACCTGTATTTTAAGTTACTTTCAGATTGCTAAGTCCTGTCCTTCCTCCGTGTGGCCTGCTCCATTCACCGTGTCTTAAGTTTAACCCAGGCTCTGGAGCCGGACGATTTGGATTTGAGCTTCCCCTCCACACTTCTGCTAATCTGTGCGACTGTGAGCACGTTTCTCAGCCTCTCTATGCATGTGAAACGGGACGTTGACCATGTACCCATTTCATGGGTTTGTTGAGGATTTTGATACTGAAAGCCCCTAATGGTGCCCAGCACCTGGACAGTACTTGTGCTGGTTGTTACAGTCCCTCCTGGCACCAGATTTTCTCCTCTAGTCAACAATAAACTTGACCTATGAGCCACCCTCACTGAGTTACAAAAGGCTTCTGGCAAGATTTCATGCGCACACTTGCTTCTTGCCGGTCCCCTTAGAAAGAGAATCAGAACTTGCCTCCCAGCTCCATGGAAGTGACGCTTCCACCCCCAAGGAGGTGACCAGCAGGTGCAGACAGCAAGGCTACAGCTCTGTGCATGGAGGACCCTCCACCCCCAACCCCCAACCCCGGGGTTGCAGGGCTTCACCCCCACTCACTGCCACCTCCAGCACCCGAGTCATCTGTCTTAGTTTCCAGCTAAGCTCTGCATTCTTCATTTTCAAAATACTGTGCTTTATCAGGCATAGCTATGTGCTTGAATCAGGAGGAGGGACTTTCCTGTGACCTCAGTCGATCAGTTTAGCTAGAGGTGTCACTGATTTTTTTTCTTTCTGTGTGTGTGCGCGAGTGCATGTGTGTTGCACTTTTTTTTTTTTTAAACTATCTGGTCAGTTTTTGTGGCCATGGTGTTGACCTATGTGAAGGGGTGGATGGTCCTGAGCTGAGGTGACTAAAGGGGACACAGAATAGAGGGTTCTGTGAGTAAAGGGAAGTGAGTCTGAGGAAGGAACCCTGAGGTGGGGCAGACTATATGTGTCAGAGTACTGGGGAGTCACCAAGGGCCACCAAATTGCTGAGTGCTGTGGTTGGTGCTGAAATCAGGCTCAGGTACTCACAGACACACACCTTGAATGAAGTCGCTGGTCACCCCTCTGCACACCCCACACGGCCCTCCGCCTCCTATGCCTGTGCTGGCTGCACACTCAGCGTCAGGCTCTCCCTATAGACGCAGGTAGGAAGGGTCCTACACAGCCTAGGGATGGTCACATGTCCCATGAGAGACATAAAGACTCCAAATGTGAACATAAGAGGTGCAGTCAGGAAAAACCTAGGGAGACAACTGGGTTCCAGAGTCTAAAGACTGAGAAATGTCACTTCCATCCATCTATCCATCATCCCTCCCTCCCTCCCTCCCTCCCTCCCTCCATCCATCATCCCTCCCTCCATCCATCCATCCATCATCCCACTCACCTACTCAGGAGGGATCCTACCCTGTGGAGGAGGGGGTCTCATCAATTCCTGGTCAATGCCCATGGATGAAGTGACTAAGTAGAGTAACAAGTTCAAACTCCAGAGTCCCGTGTTCTCCTCTTGGCTCTGCCATCAGCTGGCCAGGTGAACCAGGTCATATGGTTCGACTGTTCTAGACCTCAGTCTCCTCATCTATAAAATGGGGACAGTTGCACCAGAAGGCAGGTGGGGAATTTCCAGTTCTAACATTCCATGGCTGACCCTGTGGCCCCTGATGTCACAATATGGAGCTGGCTCGTGATTGGCCCATAGCCTCCTCCAGCTCTGCTGTTCTCTTGGTCATGGGAACAAGATGGACTCGCCCTGGACCTTACCTACTTGTGCTCCTCTGTTACGGACAGCTCTTGCCATGGCTCATGACTGTGGGTGATCAAAGCTTAGGTGCGGCTGGGACCTGAAGGAGCGTGGGACCAGAGAAGGGGACTGGGCAGGGGCAGGCCTCCCCAGACCACATGATGCCCATCCCCTTCCCTGCAGATGAGTTCTACAACGAGACTGAGGCAAAGCTGTTCCTGCAGTTTTATGAGCAAACAGCCCAGGTTGTGTTGAACCAGTTCATGGAGGCTGCTTGGAACTATGTCACCAACATCACCAAGAAAAATCGGGAGGAGATGGTATGGTACCACCTCCCCCCCAGTCCTTCTGAATCCTCTTGCCCTTCTCAGGGGTCTTGGGAGGTTGGGGACCCTACTTCCTGCCCCCTTTCCAGAGCTAGAGGAAAGAAGGAAACCCCAAAGCACATGTTAAAGCTAATTGCAAACTCCAGGCCCCTTGATGGCCTCAGACTTTCTCTGCATAAGAATCTGTGGCTACTTTTCACTTGCAAATCTTACCTTCTTGCTTCTAGGGATCCAGGCTTTCTCCCTCTTCCTCGTAGCAAATCTTCACTATTTCTGGACCATTAAAGTGGGCTTTGGGAGGGGGTTAGGGTGCTGTGGCCCTGGGGCTCGACATGGGACACTTACACCTTCCTCTGACCTGACACGACAAATACAGTGACCCTCTTTCCAGCTGCACAAGGAGTTGGAGAGGTCCCAGGTCATGGTGTACTTCGGCAGCCGGGCCCGCCTGTTTAAGATCGCCCAGTTCCAGGACCCGGTCGTGAAGCGCATGCTGAGTAAGCTGCTGGACATAGGCAAGGCGGCCTTGCCCAAGGACGAGCTCTGGGAGGTGATGGATAGAGCCCCAGGCCTCCAGGCACACGCTCCCCCACCCCAGGGGTGGGTGGGTCAGGCCTGGTGGGGGAGCCAGCGTGTCTGGGGCAGGAGGGGGTTGGCGGGGTGGGACCAGAACTTCCTCTGGAGGTGGGAGCTTCAGCCAGGCCCACTTCTCCTGGCTGGTGGGGCTAGTGCTGGGAGTGGGCCCAAGGGCACAGGCCTGCCCTGGGTGACACCTGCCCCCCCAGTACAACAAGCTTCTGGCCTACATGGAGACGGCATACAGTATGGCCCAGGTGTGCCTCGATGAGGGGCCCTGCCTGCCCCTGGAGCCTGGTAAGCACCCAACCCTGCCCCTTCAATGGGCCTCCCACCCCAAACTGTGTTCTCTTGGTCAGGGACTGGCACCCAGGGAGGCTGAGGGCAGGGGAAAGTACACGGGGTCCCACACAGCTCCTTTTCTGGGCCCAGACCTCCAAGAAATCATGGCCAACTCCAGGGACCAGAAGGAGCTGTTGTGGGCCTGGCAAGGCTGGCGGGATGCTGTGGGTCGCCAGCTTCGTCCCATCTTCGAGCGCTACGTAATCCTCAGCAACAAGGCCGCGCGGCTCAACGGTGAGCAGGTTGGACCAGTCCCAGGGCAACACTCGGGAAGGGACAAAGCTGAGTCTACAGAGGCCCAGAGAGGGTCACCACCGGCTCTGGAGCTGGGCTTCCCAAATATTGGTAAAGCACCTAATGTGTGCTGGGTACTGCAGAAGTTCTCAAACTACGTGGGTAAAGATAAACAGGTGGCCCTGGTGGGGAGGTGTTCAATTGAACACTCATGTCTGGTACCACTTGGGATGGTGTCGCAGAGGAAGGAGCTGCCCAGGGAGGGAATGAGGAGACGCTGGCTCCAGATATGGGGTCAGAGAAGGTCTCTCTGATGTTCACACAGAAAGATGGGCAAGAGCCACACAAGCCAGGGCAAAAGAGCATCCCAGGCAGAAGTTCCCATGGAGAGGGAGCTGGCATTTTGGAGGATCTGAAATAAACCCACGTGGTCACTGGGCTATGGTTAAGCGGGCTTCAGGCAGGGTGGAAGAAGACAGGGTCTAGCAGGCATGACTTGGAGCTCATGTTGTGATACTTTTCGTCTTTGATCTGACAACGTGCACAGTGGCCTTGGGAGGTAGTGTTTTCATTTTGCAGATGAAGACTCCAAGGTTGAGTGGCTTCCCAGGAAGGCGTCGGGGTGTCCGGCCTCTCGAGGCCAGAGTGGAAGGGTAGTGAGCACCTGGTGGGTCCCCTCTCCTGTTCCAGGCTACAAAGACATGGGGGCTTTGTGGCGCTCCAAGTATGAGGATGAGACCCTGGAGCAAGACCTGGAGCAGCTCTTCCAGGAGCTGAAGCCGCTCTATCTGAACCTGCATGCCTACGTGCGCCGCTCCCTGCACCGCCACTACGGGCCCGATATCATCGACGTGAGGGGGCCCATCCCTGCTCACCTGCTAGGTAAAGGCCCAGCCGGTGGCAGAGGCAGGCGCTCAATAAGCAGGGAGACCACTGTCCCCTTCTCTTAGCACCTCCACTCCCCTTCCAGGGAACATGTGGGCTCAGTCATGGGTCAACATCCTAGACCTGGTCTTGCCCTTCCCCAAGAAACCCCCTGAGGACATCACGAAGATCATGAAAGGCCAGGTCAGTTCTTGGCCTGTGGGTGTGCCCACCCTCCAGCACCCCTGAGCAAATAGGGCAGTGCCCACGCACCCTCTTCCCCACAGCGCTGGAAGCCTGGGAAAATGTTTGAAGAGGCTGAAAAATTTTTTACCTCCTTGGGGATGCTGGCCACCCCACCTGATTTCTGGAAAAAGTCCATGTTGGAGAGACCACCCGATGGGCGGGAAGTGGAGTGCCAAACCTCTGCCTGGGACTTCTACAATGGCAAAGACTTCAGGTGCCCACCACCAGCACAGCCTGCAGTCAGCACCACACCCCGACCTGTACTGTCCCACTGCCCACATCGGCCTGTCGCAGGCAGCCTGGGCGAGGAGTGGGCAATGGAAGAGATGGGACAGGGAGGGGGAATGAGATCTGGGAGCACAGAAGGGGAGATGGATATGAAAGCCACCACCTTGGTCACTGGTTGGATATGGGACCTGGAGAGGAAAAGACAGAAGTCAAGGTTCTTCTGATCTCCTGCCCATCCACCCCATTCCTTTAATAAGAGCTTGAACGGAGAAGCCTCCTGTTCTGTCCAGAGCATCCCATGCCCCTTGACCTCTGCCCTTTCATCCTAGGGTAAAGAAGTGCACCGAAGTGAACATAGAAGATCTGCTGTCCATCTTCCACCAGATGGGCCATATCCAGTACTTCTTACAGTACAAGAACCTCTCCATCCTCTTCCGAGAAGGCGCCAATCCTGCCTTTGGAGAGGCGGTGGGGTCAATGGTCACCCTCTCAGCCTCCTCCTATCAGCATCTGCTTAACAGAGGCCTGCTCAGCCAGCAGCATCAGGACTCAGGTGCTGGGGACCAAGGAGAAAGAAGGAGGGCAGCCTGAGTCTGGGGGACAGAGGTGTCCAGACAAGGCTAAAGGAAGAGAGAGTCCAGGAGCCACCGTCTGATCACCTTTTCCCTGTCCCCAGAGGAGGAGGTCAACTTCCTAATGGGCATTGCTCTGGACAAGATCGCCTTCATCCCCTTCGGCTATATGATAGATAGGTTTCGTTGGAAGATCTTTGATGGCACCATCCAAAAGGACATCTACAACCAGGAGTGGTGGAACTTCAGGTAGGGAAGGCAGTGGTGCTGGGCTCTCCGCCCCATCCTCACCCCCGATAGGGGTCCTCACCACTGCCAGAGGGTGCTGCTGGTCTCTCTTTTGGAAGCGGAAGGAAGGGTGCAACTTTGGTGCCCTACGGGCTGGGGAAGCCCCAGGGCAGTGTGGACTGTTTGCTGTCATCCGATAAATGTATCCATGATGGAGTGGGTGGAGCCAGGATGGGCGACCACAAGACCTCCTTCTGTCACCTCAACCTGTCACCAGCACTGAGCAAGTGTAGGCTTCAATGTCATCTGTGAAAACGAGGACCCCAGCGGTGGTCCCACCTGCTTCCGGGGTGGCTGGGAAGCTGCGTCTCTCTGAGAACACAGCACTGACCACCAGGCAGGCCCCTGCACCTCTCTCCCTTCCTCTTCCTACAGTGGGGCCAGAAGAGGGGATTATGGGGCCTAAGCATTTCCTCTCAGGAAATCGTTTCCACTGGGGAGAGGCCGGCCCACCACCCGGACACACATGCACACCTGCCAGGGGCTTAGCATCCTCAGGCTGCCAAAGGAGCCCGCCCCAGTCAGGCACATCATTTGATTCAATAATAAATGCCCATGACCAGGGCATCTCCACATCCACCAGGCCCCGGATTCACTGGCTCAAGTCTGGTGAACACAGGGTGGTGTGAGCCTGCAGCTCTTCCCATTGACTACTGCGGTCCTGCAGTCAATTCCTCATCTCTAAGCCTTGGTTTCCTCATTTGTAAAATGGGAACACTAGTAATACCACACCGCAGGGGTTTTCTGTTTTCTTCTTGCACTACTTACCAGATGAAACGGCCTGTTTCCCGGTCTGTAATCCACCGCCTCCCATCACCAGGATGGAGACGGATACCAACAGGAACTTGGCCTTCCTTGGTCTCTTGATGACACTCCCCAGAGACCCGGTTGATTCCCAATCTCACGTCTTTTCACTCAATGAATGAAGACATATTGGCCAGCCTGGTCCAGTTTTGATGGACATACAGATGCTTTGAAGAAGAAAAGGCTCTGAGAACCTTCCAGGTACCATGAGCAAGCCTCTGTCTTTCTCCTACCAGGTTGAAGTACCAGGGCCTGTGCCCCCCTATTCCTCGGTCAGAGGATGACTTTGACCCAGGTGCCAAGTTCCACATTTCTGCCAGCATGCCTTACATAGGGTAAGGGCCTGGGTGCTATCAGCAGAACCAGCTCTGGGAGATGAGATTTGGGGGGGCATGGTGACTCGGCCCAGCATCTCTAGGTTCAAACATCTCCTGTGGCCCTGCCCACCTCTTCCCTTCAGATGGCACAGCCTTCTTAGGGCTGTGCCCTGGGATCCTTTGAACTTTCCCATCAGATCCTGTATAATGGGAATATTCTACACCATCCCTGCTGTCCCCTAGAGGAGGGGAAGAAGAGGGAGGTGAGGGTTGGGGTGATTGTCAGGAAGGTGGAGAAGGAGAGCCTCCAATCTGATAGGGCCTGTCCAAGGTGGTAACTGCTGACAAGGGCCACTGTGTGTCAGAGCTGCCAGGCCCCATGTGGTCCTGGGCTCCCCTGCTTGACCCCACTTCCCAGCCTGCCCTCACATTCTAGGTACTTCATCAGCCTAGTGCTTCAGTTCCAGTTCCATGAAGCCTTGTGCAAGGCCGCAGGCCACATGGGACCACTGCACCAGTGTAACATCTACAACTCCAAGATGGCTGGGAAGATCCTAGGGTGAGTGCCCGCCTCCCTCATTTGTCCTCTACTCTCCATCTTCCTCACAGGGAGTCCCGCTCCAGGCTCTCTCGACTCTGCTGGCCACCCTGGGTTCCCTAGGCAGAGCTTCACTGGGTGGACATTCCAGTGAAAATTCTTCCTTGTGTCAGATTGCAGTCTGTCCTACATTAATTGAAGCCCATTTCCTCTTGTTTATCCTCCTGTGGCCAAACATGCTCTTTAGCCCCTCTGGCTTATATTTGTGCATGCACATACACAGGAGCACATGCACGACACCAGTGTCCCAGGAAGAGAGCCAGTGTTGGAGCCCTGTCTTGACCTTTTATTTTCTACCTGAATCTCCTTACTCGTCCCTTTTGCAGTGCCCAATTGTCCCCTCAGCAGCATTTGAGGCAACAGTGGATGCACTCTGCTCTTCCCTCCTTTCCATGAAGTGCTCCTCCAGTTCCTAGACTAATCCAAGTTGCTCTCGCACCAGTCTCTTGGCTTGCTTCTGATCAGCCTGTGGTCCACTTTGATCCCCCGGTCTTTTCTCCCTACACTTGCTATTTAGCTCAGCCTTTTCATGCCTGCCTCTGTGGCATGAGGTTTTTTTTTTGTTGTTGTTGTTTGTTTAGTTGTTTGTTTTCGGTCCTGAAGCAAACTTGGAGGGGTTTGGGGGCCTAAATTGAAAATACAGAACATTCTTGCAATGGTTCAGGCTCTCTGATGAGTGTTCTTACCATGCATAATGTTAGTTACTCTTAATTTTATAAAGTGGACATTGTTACCCATCCACCTTTTACAAACTATGAAACAGAAGGTCAGAGAGGTGACATGATTGTGTGCCATTCGATATAGCAAGAGGTAAAGTCATGCTTTGAAACCAGAACTACTCCAAAACACAAGGTCTTTCACACCATTTCTTCCATCCAAAGACACAGGCCCTTCTGGAGAGATTCGGCCCAGGTCTAATGGTTCTAAGATCAACACCCCAACCAATGAGATGCAGAGTCCACCGGCTGCCCTGGTCTTTTTCCTCTTGATTTCTACTGATTTTAATGTGTTCATTCTGATAATTGGTAAAGGTCACCTGGAGTTTTATTCCTGTCTCCCAGAGGATTAGCAACCCCACATAACTTGGTATCCTTTGCATATTTAATGAGCATATTTGTGATTCCACCATGAACTTTGTCTGTGATCACCAGGCTAGATGTGTTGCAGGACTGGTCCCCTGGACCTTGAGCTGTACTTTCCATGGCTACCATCCCCTACCCTTTCATACCACAGGAGTTTGTTTTAGCTGGTGGCCTAGCTTTTCCCATTTCTGAATGTGTTGAACATAAGGCACCTCTGTCATCTGCATTCACGTCTCTGGCTGCCCATCATGTGTTCATTTAGCAAATGTTTACTTGTGCCAGTGCCAACCAGCAGCCTTGCACTCAGCAAAGGGCAATGGATGAAATCAATAAATTTAGGAAGGGGCTATAGCAATAGAAAAGGCCTTAGTGGACATGCAAAGAGGCTTAGGAGGTCTGCCAGGGGACCAGGAAGGGATCTCTGTACCCAAATGTAGTGTGCAAGAAGTAACAGATCTGTTTTCTTTACTTTGACTCCCTATTTTTTTTTTTTTTTTTGGTACTGGGGCTTGAATCCAGGGATACTTTACCACTGAGCTACATCCCAGCCATTTTTACTTTTTTTTTTTAATTGCTAAGTTACTGAGACAGGCCTGAAACTTGACATCCACCTGCCGCAGCCTCCTGAGGTACTGGGATGACAGGTGTGCACCACTGTGCCCAGTTTATACCAGCTCACTTTTAACCACCCCTCTTTATCCCACCTGCTTGGTGGGACTTTTGGCTTCAGGCATTCTCACCATTTCCCTCCTCCCCCCCCCGCCCGCCCCAGTGCACAGGGCTCCCAGGGTGCACTAGGCTTCACTCCTTGTGGCCAGTCTCTCACTGTGGCTCGCCAGTCCTCCTGCATCACCGCCCAAATCCCTGTTCTGGGAAGACCTGAATCCCAGGTGTAGGACTTGGAACACCATTTTCTGGACAGTGGGCTCTGCAGGGGACAGAGGAGGTGAGGGTTTTGCAGGGATGTGGGGTGTGGCAAGCAGGTGTTATTGGGTGAAGTCCACTTGGTCCACAGTGCATTATGCCAATCACTGAAATGAGGAATTTGGCAAATTAGAGTTTATTCACGGAGCATCAAGTGTGAGAAAGGAGACCCATGTCTCAAATCTGCCTCCCTGAGGACACATGGGGAAAGGTGACTGAAGGTTAGCTAAGAGGAGAAGTGGGTTAAGTCTAGAGGTTTTCCCTCAGTTTCACAGAGGGGTAGAGAGAAGAAGAGATTCTAGGCTACTCTTGCCAAACATACCTTTTTTTTTTTTTTTCCTTTCTGGTTTTAAGATGGATCTCACTATGTTGCCTAGGTTGGTCTTGAACTGCTGGGCTCAGGCAATTCTCCCGCTTCGGCCTCCTGAATAATTAATTTCCTCCTGGAAATTAAGATGCACGCCACCATACCAGCCTGCCTCAAGTAGCTTAAAATTTGATTTTGCTACTTCCTATGTGCAAATCCCCTGGACCAGGCTCCAGTCTTGTTCTTTTGGAAATGGAGGATCCAAGTGGACCTCTAAGTTCCCAAAGTCTGCCTACCTCCTGCACCCTGCCACGGTAGGCCTGACCTTGTCCATGGATACGCTGCTGTTACTTTGTAGTTGGGCATTCCAAGAAATGCCCATCTGCCAGCTTTGCAGCCCTCTGTCCTCTGTGCAGCCCACATGGGCCACTGGTGAGTCACAGACTTTGTCCTCACAGGCTGAAGAGTGTTTTTAAGTAAGCAGACTCTTGTTGGGCACGGTGACACATGCCTGTAATCCCAGCAGCTCAGGAGGCTGAGGCAGGAGGATCATGAGTTCAAAACCAGCCACAGCAAAAGTGAGGTGCTAAGCAATTCAGTGAGACCCTGTCTCTAAATCAAATACAAAATAGGGCTGGGGACGTGGCTCAGTGGTCAAGTGCCCCTGATTCAACTCCTGGTTCCCCAAAAAAAGAAAAAAAAAGTAAGCAGATTCTCAGTGGATGAAGTTCTCCCATCAGCTTCTTCCTTTTACCCAGGATTTAGTGTCTAATATACTCCTCTCACCAAGTATTTTTTTTTTTTTTTGCTTTTTATTTCTTTTCTTTCAATCTTGGTAACTCTTTACCTTCATTTCTCTGTATTCCTAACTACACTCTTCTCCAGTGATTTCAGCCAAGAATATGCTGACCTTTACTTTCCCCTCATTCCCTCCCAGTTGCTTATTAAGAGATATGTGTTATGTTTGCAGGCTACAAAGTCCTCCTTCATCACTGTCTGGTGTACTCCTCACCGCGATGAAGGGCGGGTACTCATGGGGCCCATTTTACTGATGAGGAACTGAGGCTGAGAGAGGTTTTAAGTTGTGTTCCTGAGGTTCTGTGGCCCATAAGTAAGCACTTCTGGGTTTAGAACATGGTGACCTCTGGGCCCCCAGACCCCACTTCTTTCCTGGTCAGATCAGGGACCAACAGGTTAAAAGGACCAACATCTACCCACTGCTGCTCTGCAGGGAGCCTGGGGTTAGGAGCCGGGAAACCTGGCTTCAGCACACCCTGTACCCCCCACCGTGAGGACAGTGTGTTGAGCTGAAGGCTCTACCACCTGCCACCACATACTGGGTGTGCCTGAAGACAGAGCTGACATTTGTGCAGTACTGCAGGTGACACACAGAGACCTTTCCTGCTCATGAGCTCTTGAACTTTCCCAAGCCCTACCTGTGAGATTAGAAAGCTGAAAAGCTAACTCTACCTACTGTCCCTGGGCACCTCGCAGGGAACAGTAGCTCAGACTTCATGCCTATTTGAGTCCAGGAGAATAGCAATGATCATTAGTGCTGATAAACAGCAGCAGCAGCAGCAATCATTGCCTCTATTTATTGCCTCTAGGCACTGCAGCAACACTGTGAGGTAGATACTATTATTATCTCCATTTTATGGATGTGAAAACTGAGGCTCAGACAGGTTAGGTTACCTACCCAAGAACCCACAGCTAATTAGTGACAGAATTGAGATTCAAACTCACCTGAGTTTTATTTCAAAGCTGGTTATCATACCCACTGTGCTGAGCTCTATGGGAAGACTCTGGCTGGCAAAGTCCTGGGGCCAGGGTTGAGTTTACTGAGGAGTTCCAACAGCACCTGCTGACACCCTCACATGGCCTCACAGTTGTCCTCACGCCCCCAGGGATGTCCTGAAGGTGGGCTCAAGCAAGCCCTGGCCACAGGTCCTAAAGGAGCTGACTGGGAAGTCCAAGGTGTCTTCGGAGGCTCTCCTGAGCTACTTCAAGCCACTGCTGAACTGGCTGGTGACCGAGAATGTGCAGCAGGGGGAAATCCTGGGCTGGCCAGACTTCGGCTGTACCTTCCCAGGTTGGATAATCTGACCCTTCTCCCAACTCTGGTGCAGCCCGAGGCCCCACACTGCCCTGCCCTGGGACAGCCCCTACTCTCAACATCTACAGCCCGGCTTGAGCCGGCCTAGCAGTGCTGCTGGGGGGCCCTCTTTGTACCAGACCCGGTGCAGCCTCAGCCATGACCACAAAACTCAAGTTTTCCCAGCCCCCAACTCAGTTGCTTCCTGGCACACAAGCCAGCCAGACTGTCAGGCTGGCATCTGAGTACAGGGTTAACACCTTACCTCCTGACTGGGCTCCATGGGCTATGTTGCCCTACCCACATCCATCTTCTCCTTCTCTTCCTTCTACTCTTCTTTCTCACCCTCCTTCTGGGGCAATGGCCTTACTTGTGACCTGAGAAGAGGTCAGTGGCTGTCAGATCTTCCCCGACAGCCACAGGGGGCCCCAAGTTCCCCTCCCCAGACTCATCTTCTCTGTGAGACCATCTTGTCTTCCACAGAAAGAAGAAAACCTAAAGCGGCATTCCTGAGCATGGAGTTGGAGCCTAAGGCAGCCAGGTCCGGGCAGTGGGTGCTGCTGATCCTATGCATTATCATGTTCCTGATGATCCTGGGGTTGGCCTCCAGGCTATTCGTCATGGAAAAACAGTCAGCGAACAAAGACTCTTCAGACAACACTGAGACAGGCAACACCAAGTTCCTGTGTGTACCCATGGAGCCCCACCAGGCTGCCCGAGGACAGTGGCTGCTGCTGGGCCTCTGTCTTATCCTGATGCTGTGCTCAATTATTTTGACTATTCGGATCTTCACATGGCCGAACTAGAAGCCTCCGTGGATGAAATCTGATGGTTGGGGCGCAGACTAGCCACCAGTCAGACTGGTAAAGTTGTGGGGCAGGAGGAGGGCAGTCAAGCCAGGGAGGGTGAGGTAGCAGGGAGGGGAGAGTCTGCAAGCATAGTGCCCAATTGTGATTGGGTGCAACTGTGGCAGATCTGGGGTACATGTGGCATTCTGATTGTGTGTTTGCAAACTGGTGTGTGACGCCATGTGCACAGGTGACCAACTGTGATTCCATGTGTGCTTTGGGTTCCAGGCCAACCCCCTTTCTCCAAGGGGCTCAGGAACTATGGTTTTAGTGACTCAGTGGCTGTCTCCCTCCAAACCGCCCCCGTCACAAGTCATGCCCAGAAGTGATTCTTCACATAGCCTTGTTTAGTTCAGGAGCCCAGCTACCGGGCTTGGTTGGAGCTGCAGGACTCAAGGAATCTCTGCTCTGGTTAGAAAAAGGACTCTGCTTCAGTACCCTTATAAAATGTCCTCAGGTATAACTGGACTTTCCTTTACGAATTGGTGGTGCCCAGGTTATGATCATTGTGTTTTATATGTGGGTCGGCACATCTCTCCACTGATCCTCTGGCCCACCCTGTGTTAGGCTACATATTCCCATCCCCAAAAGCTCTTTTTTGGCCACTTAAGATGCAAGTAGCCTCACCAACTTCCCCGTGGCTCTCCCTACCCCAGCCCAGGCCCTCCCAAATGGAGACAGTGGGTAGCTGGGCAAAGAGCCAGGCGTGATTAATGATTGACTTCTTTAATATTTAAACAAAGCTCATCTCCAGTCACTCTGCTCCGGAGATGGCCTTATTCAACACACACACACCTGCCGCCTGGCCTGTTGCCCTGGGGAGCAAGAACAGGGCAAACAGCACCCTTCCAGGCTCAGTTGGGGGTGGGGAGGGATGGGAGGATGAGGAGAGAGCTATAGGAGGATATTTTCAATATTAGTGCTCTAGGGACAGTACTTTCCCTCCAGTCTGCTGGCCATAGGGGTGCCACACCCAATATTTTCAGATTCACCAAGTCTGGACTGAGTCTAGGGCCTCTAGGGGAACCTGAAAGTTAGTGCGTGTCAGAGAATAGAGGAGACTTGAGGGGAAGGAGCAATAAAGCCAGAAGCCACAAAGAAGAGGTACTAGGGCGGCAGTTAAGTTCGTAGAAGAATGCCCGAAAGACAAGATCAGCTCTCTCCAGATAAAGAATCTGAGCCCAGAAGCCAGTGGTTTAGGGGACACAGGTACCAGGTTGAGATCTCCATGGTTCCTATATCTGCTCAGATTTACAGATATCTTCCAATGTTCTGGCTGAGGCTGAGCACTACCCACTCCACCCCAGACTCTACAGTTCACTTGTTTGGCATCCCTGTTACTGCTTTTACTTTTCTGTGCTGTAATGTCCTTATTTGTCCCCAAATATTAGCTGTTAGCTCTGTAAGGGCTGGTCACACATCAGGAGTATGACTCTGTGTAACATCTCTAGACACCAGCCATGACACACAATGGGGACTCGAAAAATGTTTGAATAAGAGAACGAATGAGTGTCCCTCTGCCTAAGTCCCTTCTCAGAGCACCCCACTCACTGAACAGGTGAGAAACAGCCCCACCTTTCCTTCACAGCCAGCCTTCCCCCAGATAGGGGCAACCAGGACACCTCTGCCCCCCCAGGAGGCCACATTTGCAGCCCTCTCATCCCCAGCCACAGTGACCAATGAGGTCCCTACCAGACACTGTGGCTCTGCATGGCAAAGTCAAACCCAACTGAGGACTCCAAGCCTTTCACCTGGACTCCAGCAAAAGCTTCACTGAGCCTCCTTGGCCATCCTTCCTTCCCCACCCATCATTGTAAAGTTTATTTTGCCAGAATATTTCCTTCAAATTTCCTTCCAGTCTAACTGCTGAAGAACTTGGTTGTCCATCAATTAAACCTAGATTTTCAAAATGGCATCAGAGGGTCTTTATACATTACCCTTTTTCTGCATTCTCACCTCTCCCACTTCCCAGCTCAGTCCCTCTGCACTGACATCACCCTTGGCCTTTGCCTCACTCCATTTTGAACACTTGTCCTTCAAAGGCCTGGATCAAAATTGGTCTTGGATCCTCTGCAAATCTCCAAGCCCACCAAGATGCTCAGTGAACAATGGTCCCCTTCTCCTCTCCAAGAAGCCTCAATAAACTGCACCCTACCTCCATCTGCTTCTTCCAGTGTGCTCATTTGCAATTGGTATTCAAACACTTCTATCAGTGGTCACTTACTAATAGGTGGTTTTAAGTCTGTTCTTTCAAGCTATGCCTGTATGCTATGAAGGCACCTTATTGCATATTTCTTGTACACCTTCATGTGTATTCTGCCCCATCCTCCCAGGGCCAAGGCCCTGGTGGGGCTTGACACTTCATGGGCACTGGGGCCAGACTGGAGGGCACTTGTGAACTGAGGACAAGAGGCCTGGGGTCAGGCTCAGTGTTCAGACCCTGGAGACAGCCTTCAGCAAAAGATCACCCGAAGCCCCAAACAACTCCTGTCTGCCCACTGGCCTGTCTGGGAGGCTCCCCTATACTGGAAGGGGAAACTGCCCTTCAGTACTGGGAGGAGGTTCCGGAGATGCTGAGACCTCTGGCCATTGAACATGAACAGAAGCTCCTCAGAGAAGCCCTGCCCCATCCCAGGCCCGGGACTCCTGCCCAGCTCCCCAGGATCCAGGGACGGTTTTTGGCCTGTAGGTCCCGGAGAAGTTGCCTCTGGTCCCCGCCCTGCAAACCCAGTCAGACGGCGGGCCTTGGCTTTTTTCAGCACCGAGGCGCGGACAGCTCCCGGGCGGGAGCTGAGGGGAGGAGGCGCGGCGAGCGGCGGCCGGGGAGGGCAGACGCTGCGGGCGGGCGGGGCACGGAGCCTGGAGGCCCTCCCCCGGGGCGGCGCCCACCCCAGCCCGACGCCACTGAGCCCCAGGACAGGCAGAGACGCAGAGAGCGGAGGCGCAGGTGGTTCCCAGCAGGGTCCACTGCTGAAAGATGCCGGTCCGCAGGGGCCACGTCGCGCCCCAAAACACTTACCTGGACACCATCATCCGCAAGTTCGAGGGACAGAGTGAGTGTGTGTGTTGGGGTGGGGGCAGGAGGATCTGGACTCTTGGTTCTGTGGCAGGAGGGGCCAGACCCCTTTACTAACTTTTGATGGGACAGGAGGGGGTTATGGGGCCGGATTCTGAATGCAAAATCCTTTGAAGTCCTCAACACCTTCTCCATGCTGTCCTCTCTTCTGGAAAACCAGGGGTGGAACGCAGCTCCACTTCTCCCCGTAGAGCATTTTTCTTGGTGCCTCAGGGCCTTCTAGTCACTGACTGGCTTTCCCCTGGTGATCACCACCCCTCATTCCCAAGGTTTCCTTTTCCCTGCAGTAGACCTGGCTACTCTGCTTTTCCCAGGTCTGACCCCCAACGAATCACATCATTGTTCTCTAGTCCCCTCTTCACTGTTTCCAGAAGGCCTTGGACTTTCCTCCAACCTCATTGACCTCTGCTGCCGTGGGCTTCCTGCAATCCCCAGGCCTAACCTCCTTTCCCGCATGTACCTGGTCACCTATCCCCCCACCTCCTTCACACCCCCCCTCATTATTCTCAGAAGAATCACCCAGATTCTTTTTTCTCCATTATCCCCCAACCTGATCTCCCCATCTCTCCTTCTGGTTCCTGCCCTCCTCTGGCATCTAAATGCCCCTCCCTGTGGCCATCAGTCCACGTAATCTTTTCCTCTCTACTGCCCAATCCTGGCTGCCAAGGTCTTCCTACCTCTCACCTCCTAACCCAGGTCGTAAGTTCCTGATTGCCAATGCTCAGATGGAGAACTGCGCCATCATTTACTGCAACGACGGCTTCTGTGAACTCTTTGGCTACTCCCGAGTGGAGGTGATGCAGAGACCATGCACCTGCGATTTCCTCACAGGCCCCAACACCCCAAGCAGCGCTGTGTCCCGCCTGGCTCAAGCCCTGCTGGGGGCTGAGGAGTGCAAGGTGGACATCCTCTACTACCGCAAAGATGGTGAGGTGCAATCGGGCCAGGGACTCTGAAGGGCAGATTTGGCTCCTCTCTTGTCCAGACAGGGTGGCCTCCAGGAGGGCACTGACCTAGGGACCAAAGGGCCTGGCTGAATCCTCTCTCCTCTCTGGTAGGGAGAAGCAATGGGCATTGAATGCTATGTCTTCTGAGATCCTTTTCACGAGCTAAGGCAAGAACTAGACCTGGCCTGGGGCAGAGCCTCCTGCTCCATAACCCTCCCCCTTGCTCCTGGTCTCCTGGCTATCCACTCTGTCACTGTCAGCCCCAGCTGTCAGGAAGCTGAGACAGAAATTAACCCTCCCTCATCTCCATCTGCTCTGGGGATTAATGAACGAGTCACCCCTCAAGGCCTCTATGGCCAGGCAAGGCATGGGGGCTACTGGCTGGGAAAGAGGGGTGGGCCTGGCTTGTCCCGCTCCAGCTCTTTGGAAGGTAGGCTCTGAAGTTTGCCCCAACCAGACAACTCATCCAGATGGAGTTTGGGTAGTTACTATCGCCTAAACTTACTACAAGCAAACCAGAAGCATAGGCCAGGGCTGAGGCATAGCTCAAAAGGCCAAAAGCTCAGCTACTTTGAAATCCTCCTCCCAGGATCACAGATTCCCCAATGGATGTGGTGAACAAGTAGTGGACAGGAACTAGGATCAGAGTAGAAAGTCTTGGAAACCACCAAGATCAATGACCCTCAATCTGGTTCTTCATCAGGATTACCTGGGGTATGTTTTCCAAAACACGTCTTCCCTAGAGAGGCTGACTCAGAAGGTATAAGATGAGTCCAGGCGGGTGTATTTGGAAAAATCTCCCCGGTGGTTCTGATATTCTGCCACATTTAGGAGCCACTGATTTAGATAAGTTATTTCTTTTTAAAGATGTGCAAGGAACTTTCTCAAGATCCCACCTCAAGTTGAACCCCCAAACTCTGGATCCCTCCCTCTGAGATGTCTGTTCTGAGGAATCACAATTAATAAGGGGGGGAAGGACCCCAATTCCCTCTTGGCTTGGAGACAGGACTTTTGGGGAAGGAAGCCCCACATTAAATAGGATGAAGGTCACTTGAGTATAGAAAAAGGGAGAGTGCCTTTGAATTAGGACTGAGAGGTGCTGAAAGCCCAGGTTCCAGGAGCCTGGTTGTGTAGGGGACATGAATATGTCTGTGAGCATGCATGGATGTGTGTGTGTGTGTGTGTGTGTGTGTGTGCACACACGTGTGTGTGCGCGTGTGTGTGTGTGTGTGTATACGTGTGTGTGTGTGTGTATGTGTGTGTTTATGGGCCTCTGGGGAGCATCTTGGGTAGGTCCTGGCTGTCCCTTGCCGCTGCCACCCAAATGAGTGGGAAGTGCTGCAGAGAAGGGCAATAATTAAGGGGCCAGGACGAACCTGGCTTAGTCTGATAGTACTCACAGGGTTAATGAAGTCAGAATATTTTTAAAAGCTGTGACCTCACCTCTTCACATCATTTCATGGAGGAGGTGACAGACAGGGGAGTGAGAAGGGTCCCAGAGGAACAGGATGGGACTGCAGGCAATGGGGGAAGGGGTAGCAGGTCTTCCTCTCCTTGACCTCGAGCTCTACCTGTCTACCTGTACCTCAGGGCATGAGGGTTGATCTCAGACTTCTGGGGATGTTAGATGATGATTCTTAGACCCTGCAGGTACCTGGGCAGAGGGCAGAGGTCAAGGCCATGCCTGACCCCTGAGACTCGGGTCTTTAGAACCCAGCTGAGCCCTCCAGCTCTAAGAAGGGACCCTAGAAACTTAGTCCTGGAGCTTGGCCCTGGGTAAAAATGGGCATTAACCCATATATCTGATGCTCAGTAAGTTCCCGTCTATCCCTCCCCGACCCTCAGTCCTTCCTTGTTCTGTTGCCTAAGACTTTCATCACCTAGATCTTCTCGAAATTGGCCTGAAACCCCCCAAAATGGAACTTACTGGCCTGTATTATCTTCAGTAAATGATGTGGTACTCAGATTAGTTATGTGTTCACCTTATGGTCCACTCTGACCCCATGGTCATGGTTTCTTTGTTGTTGTCTTGTTTGGGGCGGTACAGGAGCTTGAACCTGGGGTGCTCTACACTGAGCTACGTTTTTTATTTTGAGCTAGGGTCTCAATAAGTTGCTGAGACTGTCCTTGAACTTCTAATCTTCCTGTCTCAGCCACCTGAGTAGCTAGGATTATAGGCATGTGCTACCATCCCTGGCTATCATATTATTCATTTTTAAAAATCATGTTTATATGCATCCTACATTTCTGCTGAGGAGCATCCTAATAATGATTTTTTCCCCTTCTCAGGTCAATACTTCCTCTCTACCCCACCCCCTGACTCCAGGGAGGTGGGAAGGGGTCCTGGGTAGATCTCTAGCTGGTTTATTTATAATCCTCTTTTCCTCTAAAAGGGTAATCCACTTAAAATTGTCCAAGTCGAAATGGAGGGTCTGTGTTCATGTATCTCCACATGGTACAGCTGCCTAAAGTCAGCTCAAAAGCCAGGACACTAGGTAAAAATCACCCATATAGATCAAAGTGAGAGACTCCTGAGAGACCAAGGCCTTTGCTAGGGAAAGAAAAAACATAACAGACAGGAAGAGAGATGCTGCAGGACTAGAGTGGAAGAGCACCTGGAGTGAGGCAGGGGAGCACTCAGTCCCCCACCTCTGGGCACCTGCCACAGGGTCCAGCCCTGCCTGCCTTTGCCAAGTCCTCTACACTGATGAACCCAAACCAGGGTCCCCTAATTCCTGAGCCAAACTAGGGGAGTCCTGTGGCTTCTCCAGTCCTCATCTCCAGATATGGAGGACAGGACAAGGTGAGGTCAGGGGCTACTATCTGCCTCCACCCTCCCTGTGTTTTCTGCATGCTCACTCATGGTACCAGGAGGGCCAAGCTGGGGTGACATGGTGCAGCTCCCTCCTAGTGGCAGCTTCTTTTTCTTCCTTTATTTTTTATTTATTTATTTATTTTTTTTGTACTGGGGATTGAGCCCAGGAGCATTTTACCGCTGAGCTATACTTCCAGTCCTATGTTTTGAGACAGGGTCTTTCTAAGTTGCTTAGGGCCTCTATAAATTGCTGAGACTGACCTTGAATCTGTGATCCTCCTGCCTCAGCCTCCTGAGTCACTGGGATTACAGGTGTGTGCCA